GTGCGAATACAGTACCGTGATTGACCTTGGAGCGAAGGTTGACGCTGCAAAAGCCCATCCTACCTCCGGAGGGATAAAAAACAACGCCAGCCGCGGTTCGAGTCCGTGTGGACCACGTGAGCCCGCCGCCGCGGTCGAGTGTTCTTGTGCCCCTTGTGAACCGATGCAGTCGCCTGCGGGAAAATTTTTCTGGAAGTCAACGTCTAACTGCTTCTCAGAAGAGAAACAGGCGTCGCAAGGGGCGTAACGTAGCTGCAGGATTGACGCACTGTGGTCCTCGTGATGAACTTCCGACAGGAGGCGCAGTACCTTACGAAAGGTCCTGCTGTAGGCCACGTTCAAAAATTCAGGAAGGCCGCCGAAATCGCCGCGATTTCCTATGAGCCCTCGCCATCTCAGCTGTACAGTAAACCACCGCCACATCTTGACGTTTACCCCACGTTCAGTGCCACGGAATGACGACAGCTCAGAGACCTCCTCGCCGAATCCAGCGACTGCTTTGCGACGACGACGCGTATCGTCGCGATGCTCGGAAATGGACGCCTTCGAATAGGCGTTAAAAAATGAACCTGACAGCCTTATTTTGTATTCGTTGTATGCGATTAATTCCTTCCTGTCTAAATGGATCCCAATAATGTTTGCATACTCTATAGGGTCGGTCGGATAAGAGTCTAGTACGCCGGGAGTCCAGTATCTAAAATGGCTGATTTTAGTATTCGTCTAAGAAAAACAAATAATTTATGAAGGGCGTTAGAGGAAATTAAATTGATCGGTTTATCCCATCTAGGATCGGAACTGATCCAGAGACCCAGATATTTGAATTCAGTAATTTCTCTTAGGATATGTTCGTCCATGTGATAGGAGAATGAAAGTGGCTTCTTTCTATTAGTGACGGACATACAAACACTTTTGTCATAATTTATACACATTTGCCATGTTTTACAGCATTTCAAAATATTCTTCAAATCATTAAGCTTATTTTGGTCATCAACACTTGACATCGTTATACCGCACAAAATCGTCGGCACAAAGACGTATTTTGACAGAAATCTCGTCGAGAATATCGTTGATAAATAGCAAGAACAAATGCGCAAGTACCGATTTCTGGGGGACGCCGGAGTCCACTGAAAGAAGGGAAGAACCCTCATCATTAAATTCTACACATTGGTAGCGGTTTGTTAGGTAAGCTTGTATCCAACCAATAGCGTGATTCCTAGGAGCTCTGCATGCCGCTACTTATCGAACGCTTTCGCGAAATCCATAAAGATGACATCTACCTGATTTTTCTTGTTCAGGGCAAAGTAAGATCATGAACTCCCTCAAGCAATTGAGTCGTTGTAGAAAATATTCGTTTGAAGCCATGCTGGCTGCTCGATAGTACGTTATGTGTTTCGAGAAACACAAAATTGTGATTCTTAATAATGTGTTCGAGGAGTTTACAGACAGAACAAGTTAATGAGATAGGTCTGGCTGGTAATGTAAAATCGTCAACTAAATTACGAAAAACTTGAGTTACTATCACAACGATGAATTCGGACGATAATGTGAAAAAGTCTGAATAAAGCCTGCCACTAAAAAACGTAACGCAGTACTTGGGAACGTGAACCCTAAGCCCCTTTTCTCTTCCCGCTTATCTCTGAACAAGTGAATACTTATTTTCACAGCAAAACTTGAAAATAACTGAAATGAAAAATGGAGCGACGACCCCTTTGTTGCACAGAACTTGAACCAAAAAAAAAAAAAAACTGTTTGAAAGGACACCCTTGTGACGCTTCCCTGGAATACGGGTTAGACATTCACATTTAACCCGAATTTCTGAATGACGCACACACAATGTTGAACGAGATTCTAAAGATACAGTGAATCACCCTTGTTCGGGGTTCTTTTTATGAGTATCGTCTGGAGCCTTATATTCAAGAGTCACGTCGTGCTTTTTGTTTCGAAACCGCAAACTGTACCGTTTGTGGTTATATCAAAGAATACAACGAATGGGCAGTTTCACAATTTTTACTCTAATACTGGCCAACTTTCAAGCAGTCGCTTCCGGGAACGTAGCTCTGAAACGCGGCAAGATCCCCAGAATCGCACAAAAAAATGCTGACATTGGAAGTTGAACCCCGAGGGACCTAAAGGGCTGACACAAACGCAATGAATAGGTTCCATGTAGGTCGGCTTTTCTTCATACGTAACAGTGGACATATCCACCAAGAACACAGGTCGTTATTGGTTGAAAAGCCTGCGATCTGAACTTCTTTCCTATGTCTCTTTAAGCCCCCTAATAAAGAAATCTAAGTTTGGGTCAACCGTCGATCGCGTAGTGAAGGTGAACATAGAAGGGCAGTTGATCACTGCGGGCGTTCATGACGACCAAGTCGGGTCTTCCACCGGAGCGCTCTTCAGGCCTTTGAAATGCTATGAGTCCCGAAGTCCAAGAAAAAAATCATCTGATTTTGCAACACAACGGTTATGCTATCGTCTGAATAGACTGAACAGGGACACCTCACAGAGGATATGGAAGTGCTTTAAGAAAGATTTCGAGGATCCAGCCACAACCGCCGGATGCGACATTGCACTGACCGTCGTCAAGGTAAGCAAACAGTTATTGTACATTACAAATTACCTTCTGCCTCAGGAATTTTGCATTTGTCACAACTTGATTATACAATTGAGCTACTACGTATATAGCTTATTGTACTACCGCTCGCACCAAGTCGCCTTCAGTGTGCCATTTGTTTAATAATTTTAACATACTTATATTCTATTTGTACATTTTTGGAGACCACTGGCAAGCACCAGGGTCACCTGTCAAATCCCGATGTCTGTCGGGCAGAGCAGGTGATTGCTGCCGTCAAGGAGAAAGCAAGGACAACCGATTATCAACCGCGAATGATGATTGCGGGACATAAAAGCGAACTAAGATGTAAAAAGAGCTATCCGACCAGAATACTAAATAAACATCACGATTCTTCGGATGTGCTTTAGATATTCGCGGTCATTTGCTCATCACAAGAAACGCTATGAATTTATTGATGACGACCTGGACTGAATAGTATAAAATAAATTTTTAATCTCTCTCTTTCGCTCTCCCTCCAACAACCTCAAATTCTTTTCTTTTTTTGTGTGTGTTTTTAACTGCATGGAATTGTCGATTTTGATTTTAGGTTCTGAGCGGCTGAAGCTTGCCTCGGTAAGCGCCTTGACCCGTTCAGCACAGAGGGCACGCCGCGCCTTCCACATGCCGCTGCCAGCTTCACAGCACCTTCAAGAAACCAACCTCCTCAGCTGGCTTGCATCATTTCCAGACGGGCGATTTTTTTTGCTATATTACTCCGGTGCCCAAGACAAAGATCGTCTCTTCATGTTTGAGACCGACGAGAACTTTTTACTCCTTAGCCAGTATACTGACTGGTTCGCCGAAGGCATTTCTCAAGTCTCGCCGTCGCTCTTCCATCAAATGCGACGCACGCCTATGTGACTATACCTTTACATGTATCATATCTGGCGGTTTTATACATTTTAAAGATTTTTATTTAGCTACAGCGTGTTACTTTCATCTCATCATGTCGCTTAAGACATAGTAAGTTCTTACTTTGCAGGTGTATACGATCCATGGACTAGTTCATGGAAAAATGCTGCCTCTAGTCTACTGCCTCATCATCAAATGGAGCCAGGAAGCCTATGGGCCGGTTTGCAGGACACTTAAGGATCTTTGCCACCGACTGGCACCTCAAATGTTGATGATCGATTTTGAAGTGGCGGCGAGCGAGCATTTAAGTTAGTGTTCCCGACAATCAGAGTGACGGGGTGCTTCTTTAACTTAGTATGTCCTTTGTTCGCCGGATGCAGGCGGAGAACCTCATCGTCAGGTACAGAAGTCAAAACATAGGATAAATATTAGGAGCTTTCAAGTCCTAAATGTTTTACGCAGATGTCGGGGGGTGGTGACTTTCGAAGAAAAGTAAGCTTGCATGGTACGGGCACTGGCGTTGGTTCGAACTGGAGACATTGCGCAAGGTAAAGTGAATTTTGATTACTTATTTTATTAAGTGAACCTCAGATAAACTTCTCGCGAGATTGATTTCCGTTACTTGTGTGGCTTGGCTCTTTCGTGCTTTTGTCATTAATCGCATTTTGCGTTTGTTTTTGTCGAGGACTCGAAGAGCTCCGCTCAATCAAATGTTCCAGTACTTCAAGAAGGTAAACGTGGCTGCCAGCATCGGAAGGAGTCACTCACGGAGGCCACCACTTTTCTGGCATGACTTCTGGAGCTTTTACGTACTAATCTCCGAAGTTGTGCCGAGTACCAATAATCACGTCGAGTCTGGCGCAATGCGTTCCAGAAGCCTATTGGGCTGCATCATCCGGACACGTACAAGCTAGCGGCCGCCTTCCAAGAAAGCCGAGCTTGACAGAGCTGGCCCATGTATTTCGTGAAAAGCCTAAAAGGAGCAGCAAGGCCACGTACGTTCGTGTAGCGAAGAATCCGAGGAAGCTATTTGAAATGTATGACCAAAGGTTCATGCTAGACTACCTCCGCGGTGTTTCACAGTCATTCAGTTTTTGAATGATTTTTTTTTTAAATATTGCGGAACGGTAATCAATAAACAACTATTTCTCCGAAACTCCCTGTATATTGCTTCTTCATTTCAAATTTGTGACAATTGTATTTTTTAGACTTCCGAAAGATGTGCTCAGTCAATTAAATGACATCAAGCGTTCGAAATGCGACTCCATTTGGTGTCAAAATTTAATCTATGTGAAAAGATGTATTTGAGGACCCTAATATCGATCACTCCTAAAGCGCGCACACGCGCTCTCATGTCGCGTCGCTCTCCCGTCGGCGCTCTAGTGTCATACGCTCTGGTGTTATACAGCCGTTTGCCTCTACAACGGTCATTCTCCGGAGCAAGTTCATATTCGTTTCCATAAATTTGTATGAAATGCGCATGTGACTTTACGGCAGAATTCAGTACAGATATTTAAACCTGTTATGCGATTTTATTTAAACTTTTGTTTCTCTTGTCAGCTCCAACGTTTCTTCAGGGTTGAAGTCAGTCGACTTCTCTTGCAAGTGACGATCTGATGAAACTTGCTGAAATAGAAAACGGGACAGCTGTCGCATTCAAGGCTATGGCGGATAGTTGAGCTACCGAAACGCACTCTTCGAATTCCCGGTATGCTATTTATTATTTTTAAATTCAGAATAGCCTTTATAGAGAAACACAATTAAAACGGCAAATTAAGGTTATGACATAACAAACATTTAAATTTTCCTACGCTGTACAGCAGGGTGACGACACACCTTGTATATTTGCTAGTCGAGCAGGCACTCTAAGAAACATAGCGTTTTGAGCATTCCTTTTTTGTTTTGCTAGCGTGAGCTTCCCCCAATTCCAACGAAAGTTATGGGATACTTTAACAACTGGTAAGAAACTCCCTGCTGGACTGTGCCAATTAAGGCGAATATTTCAAAGAGTTTTTTGTGCATTTGAGGTAATTAATTTGCTAATTATCCTCGTAACCTCAAGTCAACCGCGGTCGATAACATTATCCCAAAGGAATAGTTCTTTTATTTGAAGTGCCTTCTTAGAATTATTTTTAATTCCTGTAGAACTTGGATTAGTATATCTATGATTCCTTGATCTGTATTACTATGTGCAACACGAAATAATATTTTAACTGAAGTACGACAGCTCGGTTTATACCGATACATATTCATTTACCTCCACCATATGTGGTTCAATACAATAGTTAAGATGATGTATCACACTGATTAATAAATTGGCACGAATTGTAGTGCCATTTGTTTTATTGCATAAACGAATCAAGGCCTCATTATAGCTCATTTGCGTCTCTCCCGATAGATTACAATACCGCGAGAAGAATTGTTTTAATGAAAAAACCGTTACCACATACCGCTGCGACGTCTGCCGGTGAGATTAGTTTCATCCATCGCCACAGGCGCAGGAAAACATCACTAGTCAAGTGCTCCATGTTCGAGGAAGATTTTAGACCACCTTATCGAATTAATAAAAAAAGAACGCGAACATCAAAATTATACGATAAAGACAATAAAACCTGACGGAAGCCGTAAAAACCGTTTTAGAAATATAAATAAAATTATTTCAACTCAGCGTATTTGTTTAAGTCTCGCTTTATTTCCAAAAAAAACTAGATGCAATTGTTAATTGAACCAATGATGTTAGCTCAAAGCTAATTATTTTTAGCTATAATAGCTATATTCAAAGCTATAATTATTAAATTAATAAAACAACTTTCAGTGATTTATTGAAATATCAAAGCAGTTTGATACTCAGCAGCACAGTGCAATGCTGCGGCCTTTTTCTAATGTAATTTAAGCATTGCTCACGTTTTGCTAAGATTATATTGATTACTTTTCATTTTAGGTAGAGTAAAAAAAATAGACCGGCTAAAATGAAGCAAAACAGTAATTTTCTGGCTTCACGAAACATGTTTTACAGCTGTTAGGAAATATATAATTGCTAAAAAAACAGACTTAAAAATACTTTCTTTAATTCTCGTGTATGTTTTGATTTTCAGATGTGTGAATAAAAACGCACGCGCTTCGCCTTAGTACACACGTAGGAATATCATACCTGTTAAGGCACTGATTGTCAGTCCCAATAAAATGGTGAGAATCGTGCTGATTGAGTTACTCCAGTAGGATGACAACCTCAAAAGGAAGAAGAGATTCTGTGGACTGTAGGGCATATTCATAAATGGTTATTCCCCTAAGAGAGTTAAGATGCCCCTTCATCATGTACAATTGAAACAAAATTGAATATTTTTTTAGAGTTTGGTTTATTCGTGCGTTAGTATGATAAAAAAAATTCCATAACAAATTGAAAAAGGACATTAGAAAAGTGGATCCAAACTGTAGACATTTCTGTGGAACATCAACTCTGTAATAAATGCGATAATAAAATAGTAATTTACACTTAGTTCGACGTGAGAAAATAGTAATGTTGCAGCTATTTGGTGCAAGTGATATAAATGTTTAAGCCGTTATTGATGCCAATTTACGACTACGTCTTCAACTGCCCAGTAACACTAGGTTTTACCTCTGGCAACAAAAGTGCAGTTATTGCTTATTGCTTGTTAGTTCCTATAACTAGCGTGGTAAAATAAAGGTGTTGGTTACAAGATACACAAACAGAAACATATTAAAAATTAGAACTTGAAGACATGCCTAAAATCATAGCGAAGAATCCTGTAGCTCATAGCCTGAAGGAGGTTGATTGTAAAGTCAATTAGCCGGATCAGTTATATTTTGATATTCCTTTAGCTTCTATTAGCACCTTCACTCTCTCGATTTTCTTGGTGATCTTTGAATATAAGAATTTAGGTTAATTTGTTCCGCGTGAGGTTTTACAGCAAATCATTTCGTGACACCACACAGCTTTTAATTGCCCAGATTTATATGCGTGTGTTCATCGCGGGTCTTACACATTTGGCGTTGAAACGAAAGTTGCGTTGCTTGTTTCCGTTAGTAATGTAGTGTGGTTTCCTGGGCAGTTGTCAAGTGTAACCGGAATCCGTTGAGGCCGAACGTCCATGTGAAACTTATTGTACATGAGCCAGGATTCGAAGGTGATCGCCAGCACTGTTGCTGTTCCGGCACCCTAGAATTTGAATTTGTACTTAATTCGAGATAAGACGAATATCTAAATGACAATATCCTGCAGTTTTCAATTTTCGGAAATGACGTGATTCATAAAACTCTCCATGGACTCAAAGACACAATCAAACATTTTATTAAACCCCTCACTAGTCCAAAAAAAAGGAACATTATTAACAATTACAGAAAAAAACCGACATAAAAATACAGAAACTCGTGTATATGATATTGTATTGTGACCGTTTTAAATTTAAAATCTTTAGGCAATAAGGCTTGCAAAGCTTCTAGGAAAATCGTAACTCATCTTCACGGGCTCGTTATGCCCGTGGCAAGTCCTCAAAAAATATAAAATAGCTTGCCTGGCTTTCACACTTCTTAAGAGTTATTTCATGGAAGTATCCATTCTTACGCTTGGGGTTCAAGATTCATTCGATTGTTTAATATTTCCCCTTTTTTAGCGGGAAGAATTTTAAATGTCTAAGACAATGCAAGTCAGCGTGCCGCCAATCGACGCGTGTGCCCCGCCCCTGCTTCGGTGTCATCCACGGGCTTGATCTGCCCCTCCATTGAAAGACTCGCTCGATCAGCAACTGCATCTACGGCATCGACACCGCCCGTGCAGCCTCTTGGGGGGGTTTGGACACAATCCTATGTTTTGTGTATCTAGAAACAGGGAGTGATGCAGGGGAGGAAAACGCAGAACACTTAGTATGCATATCTGGAGAAGTTAGGGAAATGAACACTAACAGGGAAATAGTTATCTTGGGGGACATGAATGCGCATTTTGAAGACATTGATGGACATACGGATACAACACGAAGGATGTTAGAGGAGTTCTGCGAAGCTGTTGATTTGGAATTGTTTACCGCTCAAATAAAATGTGATGGAAAAAATAAAGTGTGAAAGAAATAACTCGCACTCGACTATTGACTGCTCTTTGATGTCGCGGAAGCTATACAACAGATTACGAGGAATGGAAATAGATGAGGAAGGCAAAAAACACCTGGGGAGCGACCATAAGAGAATCAAGATTAGATTTGGCACAGTAAAACCAGAAATGCAAAATCAAAAACAAGAGGGTTAGAAATAACTTAAATGACAAACAATTACAGGTGGTATCTAAACGAATCGAGAACATAGTATCCCAGGAACCGGAAAGAGAATGGAGAGATGAAGACTCAGTTGGTGTTTTCAACAGAGACTGAAATATCGAATCAAACAAGGAGGAAGAAAGCCAAAAACTGAAGCTCAAAAGCTGGTGGGATAAAGAGGTTAAGGCAGCAATATCGAGACGCCGAGCGGTATCTAGAGAACACAAATGGGCAAAGAAAAAGGGGGCCACACCAGCCAAAGTAGCATCAAAATGGGAAGCCTCTCAGAAAAGAAAGCCGGAAGCATCAGCATTGATACAGGCCAAAATTGGGAAGGCAGAGGTCTAGTGGATGATATAGATAAACCAGAATGATTGGAATGCATCAGTGCACAGGGAAAAAAGACCAATGGATACCAGCAGTCACTAACCACATAGGTGGGGACAAAGGTAGAGGGGGAAGATTAAGAGCATACATTAGACATACAATCGAAGCAGCATTTTCGGAGTTTGAACCGGGTAAGGCCTTAGGGAAGCGTCTACAACCCTATTGAAAAAGGCCAATATAAACTCGGCTTATTGGAAATATTGTATTCCAATGAAGTTGATGGAAACCAATAAAAACTTATTGTTATCCGATTAACCCAATACGCACGATGGGAATTCATATCGGAGCACAATATCCCGATATTGTATGCGGTTATTGGTATACAACAGGATATTGGAGCACAATATCCTGATATAACTTGCGGTTATTGGTATACAACACGATATCGAAGCACAATATCCCGACAGAACTTACGGTTATTGGAATAGAATACGACACCGCGTGCATATTGGTGACCGACATGGACATACTGTGCGGCCACACGATATATAAATATCGGTCGTCGATCACGGGCCCAAAGGAGAATACAATATCGAGTGGATAAATCTCAGAACGAATTCCAAGTTACCAACATGAATTACGTCGGCATATAGCGCGGACTAAGATGATACGTAACACAGTATTGATCGCCCGTGCAGCAACATGTGGATATCGGTACGCCCACATATACGACATCGCGTGAATGATATCGTAGAACAGCAGGAGTTACCATACGGCAATACGAGAGAGAACGATATTGGAGGTGGATACACACAGAACACAAACGTTCCGCGTTGCAAACACATTCACATTGATCGAAAGCGCAAGTGTACGTACGGCACACAGTACACACAGCCTCGAGCGCTTGAAATGCTAGACAACCACCAAACCATTCAGAATAACTAGCTGGGACACCCGCGACCTACCTTTCAATGAGAAAGCCCAATAACGACGTGCTCATTGGAGTGATCGTTTTCAAACAAATGTTTATTGCAGTTTTAATGCAACAAAAGTTAGGTTACCGATGTTGGAACCCAAATCGAACGCGATACGTGACAATGTCAGTTCGCACGATAAAATAATGAGGATTAATGGGCTTGACAGGTCACGAGCTTCTTACCCGCAGATTTATCGTTATTGACCCACCTTTCTGGGTAATCCTACGTCGTACACAAAATCCACAACCACACACGAGCACATTTCACCCACCACTCTTCGTCGCCTGTTTCGCAAGATTCACACACTGTAAAAAACGACGGGAAAAATACGTGCATTTGCGCCATCAAACGATACGTTACAGACTCGTTTTATGAGAAAAGTTTCCATCGTCAACCCGCGCGCACGAAAGCTCGAGCGCTCGAGCTTCGGAGGCAGTTCGAACTCCGAAGGGAGGCGAGCCCAGCGAGCCGGCGCGCCTGCGCGCATGCGCTGCCAGACGAGCGGTTGAGCGAGCCGCCGAGATTGCGCCGCCATTGCGCAACGACCGCGACCGCGACAACCCGGCGGGACCGACGGATAACAGCTCGTCAAGTTCGTCGCGCACTTTGCTTGTGGGTTCCAAGTGAAACCAACGCACTTTCAATCGCTTCGAAAGGTACGTATAGACGACTTTATTACTTGCAGCATTGAGTGCTTTGGTATACACAGATCAAAGTGAACACTGAAGGACAGAAGGGAGATGTTTTGAAATCGCAGCTTATTTGAACGCATGCGTCCCCTGCTGAAAGCGTCTGGCTGTGCTCTGTTGCAGACGTCATTTCGACTGCGTGTACTTTGATGTAACGTCAGTCATTGTTTACACTCGGCTAGCTATCACTCGGCTTGTTATCTCATGTGCGTAATAGACGTAGAAACCAGCGCCTCGTCTCTTTCGGATATTCAACCTCCAGCCGCCTGGCTCCCAGCGTGCTTACCGGCGCAAACCGTTCGACGTGTTGGATTCGTGGGCTCGTTCGAAGAGGCGTTGTTTAACGCTCACGAGTCGCCGAAGTGTTACCGGAGCTTCTCTTTACGAAAGTCGCGATCGACGCTGGGCTCTGAGCTCGTACTTTTTTCTTCCCTGGTAGACTAAGAGTGCCGACCATTCATCTGTGGTGCCGACTGGCGCCGTACGAAGTTGAGAAAAGCTAGCGAGTCTGTCAAATTTTCGTGACGCCGCCCAACTGCTCTGCTACCGGCTGCGCTCAACAAATAAAGTAAAAAAAAAAAAACGCGTCTTTTTATTTTCAAATATTTTTTTTGCCATGTTTCATTTTAGTCGCTGCAAAGTAAATCGCGGCCGTACGTCGGTTGACTCCCGATTACTGTCTCTACATCGTAGATTGTCTCACCACACTGGTGCCTCGTTGGTGTGATCTTATTCTGATATCGTTACATCTTGCTTTTTCATCTTGGCACACTTCTAGACGACCTTCTACACGTTGCACTCCTTGTCGACATGTCGCTGGTGTTAGAGACAAATCTGAAGTCGCTGTTTGCTCACTCCTTGGTGCACATATTTCATGTTCAACATCGGGTATCTGAAGGAGGCGCCATGAAACCCTGGAGTTTGTTTAGAGGCACCTCAACATACTGTATACAAGTGTCGTTTTGTGTGTTATAGTTTTCTACAAAACCAAATTGCACTTTGTTCGTAATATACCCTATAACTGTTCACAACAATTAAAGTTGCTATGAAACATTGGCCACGAGAGGTGACTCGGCCAACGCAGCCTGAAAATTCCTCGCATAATTTTCTTCATGGGTCATTTTGGACATTGACAAATTTTCTTGTGAATAATGAGTGTTATGCACATGTGTTCTACTTTTCGTACAGGTACTTCAGTTAGATAAACCCCAGCAAAGGCAGCAAGACCGTCTCATGGGGTCACACCAAGGATGACTGCATTCCTGCTCGAGTCCCGAGTCTTGTCACCAAACTTCACTGAACATAATGGTACATTCCGTTTCCTTAACTTTTTCTTCTGAAATGTGTTATTTTTTTTATTGTTGTTTTTTTTCTATTGAAAAAAGGGTAGTACAACGTTTAAACACCCAGTTTTTTTTTCTTTTTGTAATATGTGTAGTACATCGTTTAAAAACCCAAGCGTTCATAAATGGTCTCTGTACCAGACAATAGGGTGTCTTATACTCTGTTTCATACTTAGCGTGCAACGCTGTCAAAGGTACTAAAGTGGTGCGCATGAAAAAATAGAAAAAGTGTTACTCCGCGATTTTCGTGGATGAGTGGTAGAAGGCGCTGCTCTGGCGATATTGACGTCTCGGTGGCCGTGGTTCAAACCCATTTTACGCGCAAAGCTTTTTTTTTTTTTTTTTCTTTCTTTTTTAGACTTTTTTTTTCTGCAAGATTGTGCGCATTGACGAAGTGCATATTTCAGTTCCTCCTTCTTGATTTTTATTTATAAGTCGCCGAGAGGCCAGATTTCTACCATCTGGTCTGCCGCTTTGCAAGTGTTATTTGCCTCCAGCACCGAGTTATATTTTTCTTTCGTGCAGCGTGGAATGAGGAATCGCCCTGATAGCGGCCTTGTCCCAAAATTTATAATAA